AAGCACAAGCCTTTTCACCCAGATGTGCAATTATGGCAATCCAGAAGCTTAAATCGAATATCTCTTTGAGATCTATGACCCATGTTTTCTCTATGGATTTTTCAAAATCCAGATGTTTTGAGTTTCATATTGTGGTTGAAAGCCTCCTGACAAATTTTATTTTCCTAAGGGTGTTAGGTTTCTTTCCTTTCACTGTAGAGAACTTATTAATTAGGTTTAAACTTTAGTTCCTTAAGCAATAAGATTTCTAGAAAGTAAGGTGCCACCTTAGTTGAATTAGAAACCTTTAAGTTAGGTAGTTTCTTAAGAGTCGTCGTGAATTTGTTTTCTATGTTTGTTTGCAAGAGTCCTAGTATACGGCAAGTGTAACTCAAACTCTCTACAGTTACCCATGTAGGAATATGGCAAATTGGTTCGAAATTGTGAGTGTGACGCCACCTTTGTAATAGCGATTCCTTGAGGTCAAGGAGAGATTCCTCAATGCCTTCCTCAACTCCTGTTCTAGAGAGTGTGATTCTACAACTCTAGCTTAGGATTGGTAGTCTCCCAAGCAAGTTACAGACTTCTTCTTTCCCTTCTAGTCGGCAGATCCTGACCTAAGATTCCCACAACCAAATCCATCATGCATTCAAACCCTTCCATAAACCCCAGCCAAACCTATACAAACCCTAGATAACTAGCTCAATGACTATCCCAACAGTAACCTAATCTCTGTAGCCTTCGAGCTTAAGTTAGTTTTGCCCTAACTCAACCCTGAAATCCATCTCAGCATCCTCCCATCTTGGTGGACCTGCTAAACTCCAGAAATCTTTAACCCCCCCTTCACAAAAACCCTAACCCTTGCCATAACCCAACCAAAGCCTTCCCCATAGACCAAACGGTAATTCTACTTCATTTAGACCTCATATTATGTAATTCTACCCCAACTAAGAATCTAACTCTACCCCAGTCAGGAAATAATTCTACTTCATTTAGACCTCATATTATCTAATTCTACCCCAACTAAGAATCTAACTCTACCCCAGTTAGGAATTCCCTAAGGCCAAAGACCCTGCTGTCTTAATCCTTATAGGAACCTCAAAGGCCAAAACCCTTTAGAATTCCTATCCCCAACCTAATTAGAATTCCCAATCGTACCCAAACCCTTTCTTTCTACGCCCACCTCGCATGTAATACTCATGTAGGAGCCGAGCCCCTCGGTCCTACAACAAGAAAGAAGCAGATGGTTGCTTTAGTTTCAAGGTTTTGCCCTTTTGGGGGCCTCCGAGTCCTCATCTTCTGTTTCAAAAGCTATTAGAAAAAAAGCTTCATTTCCCTTTCAAATTGAAAAGGAGATTCTAGCAGAAGCTAAGCTGAATTGAGATGCATCATTCTCCTTTCCAGCCTGATTATGAGGTGAAAAAGCTTTCCATCCTCCCCATTTGCTCCACTACTGCCCCGTAGCTCCTCTTCCCTCCCTCAAAATAATGCACAAAGTACGATAAATGAATCGGAAAGATGAAACTGAAGGGCTTCTTGAGCGAATGGGCTAGGTTTTCCCTTCAATCGGGGAGAAGATCAAAATGGCAACATAAAGGGTTGGATGTAAGATGTAACAGCTGTTGGGTGGTTGGAGGCCATTTCTCTTTTCTCACTAATAATCAACTTTCTGACCTTCAATGGAGCAATTATATACAAAATAAAAAATTGTCGACAAAGAGGGGAGCAGCATCTCTTGATTCAGTAATGACTTCGCATCACGCTGTCTAATTGACTGCCTTTGATGAGTCTCTCAGTCTATGATTTTGCAACACCTGAAGCATACATTTTCGGACAATCGTTACTCCTAAATGACCTAATTCTGTGATCATGAAAAGTCCCAAGCACAACACTAATATGTGCGCTCTCTGAAACTTCTCAGTTGATTGTTGAATTACCATATTGCTTACAAATATTACTTTGTGAATCTCAATAGTCAAATTCTCCTTCGTTGCAGGGCATATCTACAGTAATGGTTGAGCTTATTCAAAATTAGTTGCCTCCACAAGCTCACTCATGCTTCAAGTAGCAGTCCACTCAAGCTTCAAGTAGCACGAGTCAAGTGTCTAAGTTAAATGCTCCAACAGACTCAAAACTTGAAGAATAGTACTCCAAAATAAATATGCAGCATGACAATAATGCCCAAGGTCCAACTAAATTTAAATTTAACTAAATTTCACTAAAAGACAAAAAAAAAACAAAAGTGAATCATAAAACAGACAAAAAAAAAACGTTTGGCCAATGGCAGAAAGAAACCATATATTCTGGTCTGTAGCTAGTAGACTATCAAGCAAGCTTTAGATATACAGGTAAGAACTTCTCACAATTGACCAGTACAAGGTGCCTCATACAAAATTTTAGCAGTAAAATGCAAATTCTGTTAAGCATAAGAGCACCTAAAGATAAGATTAAGCAGATATTCGATAGTTCATCATATAACTGCCTGGATTTTTTTTTCTTCTCTTCATCAAAATGATATAAAAGACAGGAGCTACATAAGATATCATCTTCCAGAAGTAAAACACCGTACAACTGGAGACTGTTCAAAAATTAAATACAGTTTGTGAACTGGTAGTTGATTATCTAATAAAGAGTGTTTTGAATGAAGTTAATAGAGATGCTGTAATATTGGAATTGCCGGAAACCCAACTTCCTAAGGAAGAATGCATCTCTTCTTTCGATAAGACGATCCAGATTTCGTTACCGTATAAAATCTGTTTAGTCAGGTTGTTGTCTGCTATTCTCCATGCTAAATGTGGCTACTTTGATTAGAGGAACCTATGGAGAAGACCAAATTGCTTTCCTTATTCCCTGGCCGTCATTGGATTTCTTCCTCCTATACTTGTTTACTTGCAGCTAAACAATTCCAAGCTGCTTTTGACACATGCTACCCTCTTGAATGAGATACACAGGTTTTCAGTGCACATGGTCTAACAAGGAGGTGCACAACAGGACTTGCATAGGCCCTGGTAGGTCACTCCTCAATAATGACAGGGAGGAGTATTTGTACAGGGTAGATTCATAACATAGTCCTCTTTTTGTTAGCTCTGACTTGACTACCTCTCAATGTCCAAAACTGTTAAAAAGGGGAAGTCATAGAGGTGCCTCATCTGGATTTGTGGAGGAGGTTGAAATCATGAACCCCCATGATAGATTTTCTTTTTTCATATTATTTCCTAAAATTTGAAACTTAGAAAGGTCCGAAAGAGTAATGTAGAGCTGGAAACTTGCAATCACAGCTAAGGCAGGCTGAAACTTGGTGAAGGAAACTGAGAGAAAAACCATCACGGAATGATGGAAAAGAAAAGCTCATCATGACTGAACCTCTTTCAAACACAGAAAAGAGAGATCTTACTGAGAGAAAGAAAGAGATAAAGGACAAATCAAATGGCTTCAAGAACTACAATTCCCTTATCAACAATACCTACAAGAAGGTTACTTGAATCCCCTTATAAAGAATGGCTGCATGATGTAACTTGAATTCCCTAACCCTCATCATCAATTCTAATCTAGGCCCACCAGAAAATGCTATACTTACAAGGTAGCCAACAAAAGGAAAAATAGCCATAAAAAATTAAAGATAACAAAAGGAAAAATAGCCATAAACCAAAGTATAATGTAAATTATACAAACTGTTTACCCAACAATGTTTGGCCAGTCCAAATGGTCAGAACTAGCCAGCCTGACCAGCCATAACCTCTCCAATTTTGGGTTTGAACCAGTTTTGCTTTGAACAAGAATGGCTAAGGCATTGGTTGGTCATCTAACGGGCAGAGCCACGATCTGGTCTGGTTGAGATAACTATGATATGAAATAGAGTGAATATGTACAAACTAAATAACATAAATTTGTGCAATAATACTTGGGCATCACAAAATTGATGTAAATAGTGAATAAATTAAATGATTTACATTAGAAAAGGCATCTAGTAAAATTGTCCGTGAAGTTGAGCCTTTTTTTGCCACACCACTAAAAAATTCATAATAGTGGAGGCTGTAAAGGTAATAGTTTGCAAATAATAATATTGATTACATATCATCATGAAAAACTTGTAGGTTAAATAATAACACCTCTTTAAACCAATGTTTTAAAACTAGGCAGACCAAATCCAGAGTCATTGAGTCAACTTGCCTCAGGACCCTTGAGAGATCATGGTTTGTCACAATACTCGTCTGAGGCCAGCACTTTATCAGCTTTGTAGTGTGTTTTATCTTGAGACTCGACTAGGTCTTATCGAGACTGGGGCAAGTTGAACCGTGTGACTCAGTTCCCAACCCTGGTGAGTCCCAAGCCAAGTCTGGGTTTTACAACAATGCTTTAAACTAAATTCAGGAGCTAGAACAATCCAATAGTAACCAGATCCTTCAAATCAAAACGGTACAAAAAAGGGTGCTTTATAATAAAACTGTAAATACAAAAAATAAGTATTATTTCAATTAAAATGTTAAGGCAAAAAATCCTAAAGCAATAAGTTAAGACAATTTTGTATTTGAAGAACAACAGACTTTGAACAATATGTCAATTCGAGGACATAGCTAACCATCCAAAATGCCGTACTACTCCCTCTACCATCTCCCTTCTTGTACATTTCCTATATTTTCTATTTATGGCATGCCATGTGTATACTTTGCCAGTCATTGTTGTTTTACTCTGTTATAATGAACTATAGAGTTGCTTATCAGTTGAAAAAAAATGAAGTCCCTATTCTCTAAGTCCGACCTTGCAAAAAACACTTTCACTCGAATAATAAAACGAAAGTATGGAAGCAGACAAAAATTGACATAAATAGAAAGACCGGAAAAGAAAAAGAAAAATGTGTCAGCAAATTACATGAAACATGAAGGAAACATGCTTTACATGTGCAAAAAGCAATCATGGGAAGGAAACAAAAAGCTGAAATGGAGCAAGAGTGCAAAACAACATAAAAGAGAGTTCTCTATGTGTGCAAGAAAAAATTGAATCTAAAGAAGGGAAAAACTAACCTCTAGCTGATTGCTTGAGAGATCCAGAATGACTAAGTTACGAAGTCTACCAAAAGCCTCAGGAAGAAACCTCAGCAGGCGCCCAGAAAGGACGACCTTCTCCACATTTTTATGTGAAGCCTCTTGAAGAATGTTAATGACTTCCTCATTTACCTCATCTTTAGCAGGCAAAAATTCAGAGTTCTCCTCTGCCGATTCATACATCTTCACCAGTTTCTCTTCTTCATCCCTCAGTAGCTGCTCATATGCTTGGTGCATTTCATCAAGCTGAATGATAGCTTTAAAAGGATACTTCTCCTTCTCTGCAGCCTGTCGACACTGCTTCTCTTTTTGTGCCTTTAAATCCCAAAAAAAATGATCAACATCAAACGGGCCATATGCTCTACAACCATATATCTATGACCATTACTGAAAGTTTTCATAAATCCAAATCCCTTGTAATATATAGAAATAACCTCAGATCCCAGCAAAACCTAACTTCCAACACCATAGTATACAGTTCAAGGACAGCAAGAAAATATAGAAAAACTTCAAATACCATGTTCAGAAGGAAGAAAGTAGAATCTAAATGATAAAGCAACCACTAAAATTCCAACATCAATACAACATCACAGTCAATAAATAAATTGTTAGAGGGCATGAAAAATGATATAACTAAAATCTAGGTCACCTAACAATAAGAAAGAAAAAATATATAGATGCATATGAACTTTAAATATCATGTCCAAAAGAGAGAAATTTTCAAAAATGTAAATGATAGAGATCACTAACTACAAGTTGTCAAATGAACAATATGGCATGCTAAAAGTATGAACGGAGTTTAGCTTCAGGGAATTTAAGGTTTTGCTTCAACAAGAATGACTTTGAAATTATTAACAGAATGAATTTTAAAATTTTGCATGCAGAAAATAGTATGGAAATCAACAAGAACAATGAAATGATAAAAAAGGGTGAAGGAGGGGAGGGAGAAATTGAGTGATTTGTGGAGTGCACGGTGCACAAGACTGAGTACAAAGTGCAATTTATGTAGTGCTCCGTGCACATTGTTTTGGGGAACGCAGTGCACATTGAACGGTGCACAGGTGCATAACGCTTGTCATAAGTGCACATTGTTTTGGGGAACATAGTGCACAGGTGCACAACACTCGTCATAAGTACGAGCAACATGCCTACACTTTGCACATGAATAGTGCACATTGAGTGCTTTGCGTAGTGCACTGTGTACAGTGCAGTATTCATATAAAAAGTATAGGCGCATTGCCCACACTTACGATGAGCATTGTGCACTCCCCATAAATTGCACTTAGTAGTCAGTATTGAGAGTCCAAGAAAGTGAAAGAATTAGCAAAAGATGGAAAGACAGTGCATCCATAGCCCCTAAAATTTCACCTCCAACAAATAAGAATAAATTGCAGAGATAAAAAAGCATCTAATTCTAATCTCGTCATCAACAATATAAATCCAACCTTATATCTAAAATATAGTTAATTAGTTGCAAAACAAAACTAAAGAATCAACCTGAAAACACAGAGAAAACAACAACAAGAGATTGGTAGAGAAAAAGGAGTACAAGAGATAGAAGTAGGGAGAGAAAGAATAATATAGAGGGAGAGGAGAGAGAACTGAATTCTAGTTTCAACTAACCTGTTGTGCTCTCCACTCCATCTGTTCAACACCTTCTGGTTGAGGGGCCAAGACGATCTCTTCAAGCTGCTTTGAAAGCTTTGAATCAATTTCTTCAATTTTCGCATGTGCCATGTCCAAGGTCTCATGGTCAGGCCTCTCACCAAGCCCTTCAAGAACCTTTCGAGCCTGCGCAACATTTGAAACAGAGTCTGTCATGGAAGCAAGCATCTTAGGATTCTTCAGATTAGGCATCTGCTCCTCGACATTAGTGTCAGAACCTTGAATTTCAACTTGTACAGTATCAGAATCACCACTGATAGCCTGATTAGACGATTGTCCCATCACGTAAGAGAGAACAGGGTAAGCCTTAGGGTTGGGATTCATTTCTGTAAATTCAAGGTTGGAAAAACTAGCGATCAGTGAAGAACACACTAAAAAAACTTAAAACTCAAACAGTGAATAAGAAGAAAATGCAATTCAAACCGAAGATGCTCTGGAAATCAGATAAGCACACAGAAAAACCTAAAATAAAACACATAATAAGAAGAAGAAGGACGATGGCTGATGGACTCAGCAGTGAAGATATTACAAAAATAAAAACTAAGCCTCAAAATCATAGGAATCTAGAATCATATCCATTTCGCAAAATTTAAACACAAATCCTAATGAACACAGCAAAACCCCAAAACTGAACACTGAGTGAGAAGAAGAAGGAAATTAAGAGGATTTGTAAACAGTGCCAAAATCAATCAACAAAGAACATTTGAATTACACAACAACGAGGATAGAAAATGAGAGATAAAATTCAGTTTAGTAGATGGAAGAAAATGGGAGAAACTAGGGTTTCTGGTCATCAAAAACGAACAAAAACGAAACTTCGGTTTTTTTGAAGAAACAGAGGAATCTAGGGTTCCTGATTGTCCCCACAAGTGGATGGAAATGAATATTGAGGATAAATGAAATTTACAGTCTTTTCGCACATCAAAATGTTGGAAAGTTCACCCAATCTCAGTTAAACTACGGTGTTCATTATTACGAGGAATCGCGATTCTCCATCCGATTTTACAGTGTGTAATATGTTTCAAGGATGAGACCGTTACAGTATGACTATGGACATTCGAGACATAAAATCTCATGACCACAGAATAAATGCGGTCATGATGTTCGTCACGTTCCCGTGATTGTAGTTTAGTTGGTGCTGTAATTTATACTTCGGGGATTATATTGCATTGCTAGTCATGATTTGTAAACCTGCGGAGAACATCAGGATGGATTTGCTAAAAACAAAACCACAACGGACACAAGTGATTTAGAAATGCATAAGTAGCCCCGATCATGCATCCCAAAAACTAGTTTGGATCAGTGAATCGTAGTTTGGATCATCGTCTTACTGCACAAATAAAATTTTTTTTCCGGCAAAAAAAACACGTGAAAAAATAATGAACAAGCCAAAGACCGGTTCGGGTCAGTTAATCAGCCAAGCCTGCATATGTAGAAATGTGAGCATCTTAATAAATCTATTTTTGAGATAGATTTTAAGACTTAATTTTTAAGGACTTGTAATATCTAATATAGAGATCATGAATATGAAAAAATATATAAATTTTAAAGAGTAGAAATAATAATTCTAGTAAAAAAACATTTGGACAGTTAGTTTCCATTGTTTTTAGGTAGAACACCTACTTGCATCCATCTTAAAAATGATTTGGTTTACATTTTTTGGAACCCATATGTAGAAATGTGGTCTAGCCCATATGAAACAATTTTTCTTACTATAGAGAATTGTCGTTTTGCTGTATGAAATTGTCGATTTCTTTCTAAAAGCAACTGTTTTTCTATATATGGAGAACCAAATTGAAAAGAGAGTAGGGTTTGAGTGGGAAAGATGGAAGGGTAAATGTAGTTCTAAGGGAATCTCCTAGTAAATTAAAGACCCCCTTGATTAATGTCTTATAAACTTGAAAAAGTATATAAATAGATCATTTATTTTTAGTACAAGAAAGCTTGAGCTTTTTTTGTGAAATAAGATGCAAAGTGAGAAAACATTTTTTTTTGTAATAAGAGAGAGAAATGGGGTTTGTCTTGCATGTGGTTTCGGAATAGGAAAGAAATTATATAGAGCCTAGGCTCTAAACAATCAAATTAAAGCTTGCCTCAAAAATTTAATTAGAAAAAATTGTTTTGATGTCTAAATATCTTCAAATTAATCATCTCAACATCAAGATGCATGGACTTGAAAAAAAAATAGATTTCAAGTCGTCATCAAAATGCATGGACATGAAAAAAAAAAAGATTTCAAGTTTTGAAAATAGTGCATCTTGTAACACATTTTTGGATCGTCAATTTTTCAAGATTTTCAAGTTTTCATAGATATGCTCAAACTACACTATTTTGAAGCTTTAAATTTTATAATTTTTTTAAAAATGAAAACATATTTTAAGGCTATCACAAAGATTTTTCGTATCGAAACCACATTTCTTGACACTATTTGGAGGTGCGCTTTACTTTGATTGTTTAGAGCCTCGGCTCTATACAAACCATACTTTAGGATTTTAAATGAAAATTTACCTATAATTAAATGGAGGATAAGATTGCAATTAGGTACATTTCTGATTTTGGATGAAAATGTACTAGTAATAAAATAGAGAATAAGAGCATCTATATGACTTAGTTCAATCCAAGAGATCAGTGGAGAGACATGAGGGAGAAGGGCTTAAACCCCACTGATTCGTATGCGTGGACCACATCATACAACTACAAAAGTTCGGTGCGCTCTACTTTCCATCATTTCAATGGACGGCGATTGCCCAAGGATGATAATGTCACTCAATGATTATGTTATATTTTCCTAATGTTGGGTTTCATTCTACTGACCATGATTACAGACTATGGTATGTCTTTTTTGTCAATGGACTATATATTATGGAAAAAGTTTATATATAAAGTGTCAAACTTTATACTTTTAAAAGAAGATGCAGCTCAAAAATCCTTTGAAAGAGACAATTCAAATGATTTTTGAGATGCATTTTAATTTAAAAATATAAATCAAATAAACAAGGGTTTTTGAGGTGCACCTCAAAAATTAAACCGAAGATGCTTTAGGATTTGAAATCCCTTTTTTCTTTTTATTCATAAATCTTGCGGTGTAGCTCAAAAATCCTTTGGAAGTGACTGTTCAAAGGATTTTTTTCCAGTTTCATTGTCACATGAAAAAAATGAGAATAAATCAAATAAACAAGGGTGTGGTTTATATAAGATTTTTTTTTTGAAACTGTTAACTGTATGTGGTTTATATAAGGTTGGGGCCTAAACAATCAAAGTAATGCGTACCTCTAAATAGTGTCAAAAGATAAATTTTCAATAGCAAAAATCTTTGTGATGGACTGAAAATTTATTTTCCTATCTAATTATACAATTGAATCATCCAAATTTAATGTAAATTGAGTAAATCTATAAACAATTGAAAATATTCAAAATTGGTAGCTCAAGATAAGCTATTTCTCACACTTGAAATCCAATTTTTTTCATATCTATACATCTCGAAGTTGAGATCGATTTGTGGGTTTTTCGACATCGAAACAACCTCTTTTAGTGAATTTTCGAGGTGCGTTTTACTTTTGATCGTTTACGGGCTCAACCTTACATAAACTCTTTCCAATAAACAAATATAATGAAATAAAGAACCAATCTCAAGTTCTTTAACATTTTTTTACATGAAAAAATAAAATCATGCAAAAAAACTAGAACTTATCAACAGTAAATGAGTAAACTATGAAACTAGGATTCATGATATATTTTAATAGAGTTAAAAAATTTAATTCTTTAACAGGATATAATGAAAATTAATTCTCTTTCAAGGTGAGTATTTTATTGTTTTAAAAAATCAACATAATAAATTGCAAAAACAATAAACATAAAAAAAAATCCCAAAATTCGATAACCCATCCAATTCTCTCTAAATCAAAATCCCTGGCTTCAAAGTTCATTCAATCACACAAAAAAAAAAAAAAAAAGGAATAAACAAAGGTCTTCGTTGAAGAATACGACTTTGAATTTTCAGAGGGAGACAACAAAAAAAGGCATGTAAAAAACTAAAAACCCACAAAAAGAAGTACTTTACACATAAATAAAATAAAAATAAAATCCCCATTGGATATTGGATTGAGATTGAATGATCACTAATCAGTATATTAAAGGCTCAACAAAATATTTATTGAAAAAATCCATCAAAAATTCGAAATTTTCTGTATTTTCCCACAATAAAGAAAATGATCAAAAAGTTGAACATACTTACTTAAGCTTCAAATAATGGCTGATTGATGCACTGTCTAAAATCTCCCTTAAAAAACCCTAGGGGTGGGGGAGTTTTGGGAGAGATGAGCGTGCTCTCTCTCTCTCTAAAATTTCGTTCATAAAAGCCTTATCTTTTCTTTTGATGGAGTTTCGCAAAAATAGTCTTACATATTTAATCCTTTGATAACGGTCGTCTCTTTGCAGGAAATCCTTCGGTAATGGTCGTCTCTTTGCAGGAAAAATAGGAAGGAATAATGGGGGTACGCGGATTTTAGAGATGTTGTTTTAAAAGAAGGGAAAATTACGTATAGTCTTTTAAATTTATCGTTATTACAAAAATATTTGTTATTATATATAGGGTGTGGTTTCTATAAGGTTGCAACCTTAAACAATCCAACTAAGGCGCACCTCCAAATTTAATCTCAAAACCTATTTTCATATCTAATTATAAAAATTTTAAACTTAAAAAATGATTAAAATCAAGTAGATCTATAAACATATGAAAAAAATTTATAGTCTAGATAATGCGTTGCAAGATGTACAATTTATGGGACTCAAAATCTTTTTTTTTTTTATATTCATACATTTCTGGGACTCAAAATCTTTTTCTTTTTTTCATATTCATACATCTCGATGTT